GAGTGCTCTCGGGAGGATTGATCAGTAGAGAGAACTGTATGTACTTGCCAACCAAGGGAGGGGGCACCCCTTATTTTTGCCTGCTGTGCCAGGGCCCTTGTGCAGGGCACATGGCAGACACATCTCCTGGCATAACTGTAAGTGGAGGGAGGTGGTATTTACAGGTCCTGGGGGCTGAGGCTTCTGATTATACACATTAGACTATTTCATGGATCAAAGTGTCTTCTCAAGTCCATTTTTAAAAGCCTAATAAGTCACATCCCATTGCTCAGTCTGCAGAGGAAGCCATAAGGTCTTATTTTTTGATGCTTCCGTTCTTATTTTGGTATATAAATGCCACAGAAGTACCTATTCTTGGCACTTTATTTTATTTACTTTACCAGGATATTAATTTGTGGCCTGGGCATTAACATTGAAAGCTTGAAATATGTAAGAGGAAGTCCAAATCCAAACATTCAACATGAGTTATTGGAGCTTAATTACTGAGGCAGTTATAGTGCTGTAAACGAGTTCATTTCTGATTGCAGCCGTAACCCATGCAGCTCTGAATTGAAGGAAGGGATGATAGAAGGTGGCAATATAACACGAGAACGTCCATGAGTTGATTTTAATTGGTAAACTGGTAATATATAGTGATAATTGTTTGGTCTGTCCACCGCATTGGAATCTAAGGAAAGTACATAAAATTACAGGAGCATATAATTGGTGTACTAAACTCATTTTCTTATGTTATCACAGCTGGCATCTTCAGGTTATTAAAAGCCTTTAAACCAGCCATCTTCAAGGAGATGTAATTGTCAATATGGTCTTTATACATTATTTCTGTTAACATAGAGCTGAAAAGATATAAACAGGCACTAAAATCTGCACAGATTTTCTGTATATAACTTTCTTATTTCAAGTTCATGGAAGATCTGCACATGTTCATGAGGATTAAAACCCATTTTTTAGATCCTATTTTCCTCATTAGATGCGCAGAACAATCAACCCATAAAGCATAATTTTTGAACTATATAACATGAATCTGACCTTTAAAATAGTTAATTCATTAGTTCCAAGAAGTTCTATGATCTTTTTTCATGTATGTATAGGTGGCTCTACACAAATGATTGTTTCCTGAGGTATTATCAGAACCAGGAAAAATAGGCACAAATTCCAACATTCTTGGATAAGTAATTATATGTTGTTTTATCTACTGGCTGGACAATGGTGGGACACTTCTAGAAAGGTTTCAAAGTCTAATCCCATTCACCCACCCACCACTACACACTCCTCAGAGAGATTTTTTTTTTCTCAACAAAAGAAATAGGGCTATCAGAACAAAACAACACAAAACCAGAAGCAACCCTTCTCCCCCAGAAGGCATCCTAGAAGAAAAAACTCCCAAAGCAATAAAGGGCGTAAAATAAGAAAACCAGACACAAAGAAAGGTAAGGTGGTATCAGCCTAGCATTTATGATTACTAAAGATTCACCATAGGTTTATCTTACATGAAATCTATCTCTTTTAGGCCCCACCACCTATGAGCACAAATAATAGCAAGTTAAAAGTAATTAACGGTACATATCACACTCTCCAATAGTGTGGCATCTTCATTTTTTCTACGTGTCTCTGGGAGTCCTCAGGGTATATCTTACCTATCCAGAAAATGTGACCACTCAGCCTGCATTGATTGCTCCAGTCTCTGCTGGTCATACTGGTAGGAACATAGCTTGCCCCTGGTCTGTAGTGATACTTCCTTCTGTTGGACTGCTGCTGTGTGCTGTTGACACCGTGGACCTTGAGCTGTTGGGAACACCTAATGCACTGAAACCACACTGAAGGCCATGACTTTTGTGTTCACTCATGTTCTCAGCCATGATCATGAAGTCACGGGAGGTCGAGGTAAGGGGAAAAATCCAAGGTACAAAGCCCCTGCTGAACTTGAAATCACCTAGGCACCAAGGAAGAATTCTTGACTCAGAAGATCTCTTGGTCTCTTATGTAGATCACCACGTCTTACTGGTCTCCCAGACATCTCTGCGTCCCAGATGTGGTGCTACTTGGGTTTCAACTGAAATCTGTCATATGTATATATGCTATATTTGACTTCCAGATCTTTTTCAGCACTAGGTGATGAAATCAGTTTCCTCTCAAACTATGGTTTAACCTGTGAACTGATCACTAGGCTAAGTATAATCCAATACGTTGGTACTCAGCCATACTTTAACTCATGAAATCTCATGGATAATTATAATTTCGGATTTCAAATCAGAACACACATTCAAAAACATTTTACCATCTCCATTAAGAAAGTACTACAGGCCAGGCGCTGCGGCTCACACCTATAATCCCAGCACTCTGGGAGGCTGAGGCAAGAGGATCGTGGGAGGTCAAGAGTTTGAGAATAGTCTGGACAACACACTAAGACCTTGTCTCTACAAAAAATTTTTTAAAAAAGTAGTTGGGTGTGGTGGTGCACGCCTGTAGTCCCAGCTACTCAAGAGGCTAAGGTGGAAGGATTGCCTTAGCTCAGGAGGTCCAGTTTGAGGTGAGCCATGATCCTGCCACTGTACTCTAGCCTGGGCAACAGAAAGTAGCACTACAGGAAGCAAAGTTTCAATATTTGAATGTAAACATGATTTGTCACATATATAGGTCAAAATAAAGCATTTATTTACTGTTACTTAGCTACAATGTTAGGAAAACTGCCATTGCACATACTCCAGCCTGGAATTTCAGTAAATGCTTTTCACTATCCATGTGCAGGATTATTTTAAGCCTACTACATTTTAATGTTATTGCTGCAGTTATAACAGACATCAGCCACCAATTATGATAATGTTTTATTTACCTTATATATCAAGAAAGCCATTTGGTTAAAATTATCTACTATATCTCAATTACATTGTAATAGGATACTAGCCTATTATCTTTCAGAATAAAATTTGGATAAATCAGTGAAGTTAATAATCTTGATAATTTTAAGATGAAATAACCCTTTGTTCTCAAATTTAAATACTTCATATTTTAGTATGTTTGTAAGCTAATAATAGAAAAAAGCATGACAAATTCCAGGATATTGGAGTTTTCCTTACTCTAAGGAATGAAGCCTGAATGGAGGTCAGTAACCTTTAGAAAGGAGACAGCTGTGAATTTTGGCCTGCTCAGACCAAGTCTCATTAAGTAGCCCTTACGGTCATATTTAGCCCACTGTGGGCCTTGCTGTGCTTCTCCATGCCTACCCCTTCCCTCTTTTAGCAATGATGATAATTACAATAACAGCGAGAATAATATAGACATCATATTAGCACGAACTGAGTATTTCCATAAATAGGATCTCTTGGTAACTGAACCTTCTTTGTTAAAGTAAAAAAGTCCAAATATTTTTAATGGAAATGCTTATAAAATGTATATACATTGAAAAATTTATATAAAATGATTATATACTATTATGGTTTTAACGCTTTTATACTGTCTAGTTGTTTTGAGTTCTAGAGCACTAATGCTCTTGGATTTATTTAGTCATTCATTCACTTATCCAGTCATTCACCCATTCAACAAGTATTTATTGAGTGTTAGTATGTTCCAAGAACTATAAAAGACTGTAGAGAAACAACCTTTAACAAAATAGACATAAAGCTCTGCCCTGATGGAACTCGAAACCGAGTTGGTATGTGGGAGGTCTGCCTCTCCAACAAATGGGCCCTGACTGCTGTGGTTTTGGTTGCTCTGTCTCCTTCCCTGCTGTCAGCTGTCACCTCTTGCTGATGCCATATCTCCCCTTTAATTGGGGTTACCATGCAGGTCTTTTCCCTAAGCATCACTCTAAACCAATAACAAACCATATCCCTGAATGGAGCCCAAGCAGCTCATTGGTTAGTTATAGATGTGTTTCTTGCCTTTGTGAAGAGTTCTATTCCTACTCACCGTGTTTGGGATTTTCTTTTGTTTTCTTTCATTGCTCATGTGACTCAATTCTAATCCTCTGATTCAATTATCAGGCCTAAAGGTCTCTGTACCATCTATATGCAAACAAGACTCTTTGAAAAATAACCATCCCTAAGTGATACTGCATATTAGAAATGCAGTACAAAACATGATCTTTCTTTTGATCGAGTTTGTTTTTCCTGATAATTCTCTGAACCCCCACAAACATTTTAAAAGGGAGGCACCAGAACTTTCAAAAGGAAAGAAAATCAGTTTCCCTACACTCCTATATTTTGACCATTGCTAAAAGCTGTCTGGTAGAAGTGCAGGGAGACAAGCAAATGAACTGCATTTAAAGGAATGGTGGTGGCTAAGGTGAAAAGGAATGTCAACAATTCATTCACAGACTCATCAGATATAGGAGGTGGAAGGGGTTACCCTGTATGCCAGTGAAGCACAGTGGTTAAGAACTCCAGTTCTGGGACTAGATTACTATACTTTTTACAGTCATTTGACCTTGGCCTGGTTACTCAACATCTCTGTGCCTCAGTTTATTCATCTATAAAATAGCATGTACTTCACAGGACTGTGAGGACTAAATGAATCAATACAGGCAAAATGCCTTGTATTGTGCCTGGCATACAGTAAGCACTTGGTAAGTATGAGCTATTATTATCTCAATCTTTTCACTTATTTTTACAGATGGTGATATTAAGTGAATAACTAAGATTTTAAGTGAATAGGAAGTTAGAGATAAAACCAATGCCAAAACGAGATGTCCTGATTCTCATTATATTACAGATTTTTTTTCATGATATCCTGCTTATTCAACAGAAGTAATACTAAGCAAGAAGTAAGTTATTTCTGGGAAGAAATACTGAATCATTTCAATGATCATGAAGGTGCTACTCAGTTATATATGAGTCCTTCTCCTCCTCCTAAACAAAAATATCCAGATATTTTTTTGCCTAATTCTATTCCTCCAAGTCTCAGTGGGCAGGAATAATTCTACAGAGGCAAGTGACAAAGGGTCAGGAGGTCACATGGAGTTTAACTTTATGCACTCATTCGGCAGCCATTTCCTTCCTTACCTTAAACTTGTCAACTTCAGCTTTTGAACATGTTGCATGGTATGACAGCACCTGATGCAGAAGAAAAAAAATTTTTAATAACTAGATATGATTAGATTTTCTGAAGTTCCCTTGGCTTAAAAATAAGCTTTGCTCGTGTATATCACCTTGATTTAACAGTGGATTTTAATGTATGACAAAAAATAACATGCCTGATAATAGCTGGTGGCATAGATCCCACATTAAAGGCTATTCTATGCCAAGATTTTTCTATAGGTAGTTTTATCTAAAGGGACATGATATGGCTAAGGACCACAGTTCCCAAAGTATGTGTAGACTTGTCCTGGGAAATGCTCTGAAAATAAATTGAAAGGTGGTGTACATATGTGTGCACATGTGTGTCCTGTGGCAGATACCATAGTTTGCTAATTCAACTTCCACTCCTTTGCCATTCTCACTTGCCTGCTTTTATTATATAAGAAAGACTGTTTTGTTATATATTTGGGACCCTTTTTGTAGGAGGATTACTCCTTGCCTTATTGACATCAGCCTTGGCACACACTTTGTTTTGGTCAATGGAATGTGGAAGAACAAATGCCACTTTTGAGCAGCGTCTTTAAGAGCAAGCACATGGTTTCACCGTCTCCCTTTTCCCTCCACCATGGAAAGGATGTGACCTGAGAGGATCTGATCCTTCAGCCTGCACCCCCAAATAAAGAAGACATATTGAGCAAAGCTGTAGCCAACCTGCATCTGACGACATGTCAAGCGAGCAAGATAGCAGCCTATGTGGTTTATCACCATATCACAACTTACAGAGGCTTAGAGGCAAAACACTCAATTCACAGTGTCCCTGCTGTAGCTGGGGGTGGGCATGTGGTTGGTCACATGACACTGCTTGCTCAATGAATTATGAGTGGGAGCACTGGGGCTTCCTCTTTCCTTTTATTTCCTCTTTGGAACACAGCTGGAAAGCCTAGAGGTGTATAAAAATCTGGTGGCTATGAGTGAATGCCAGCTTGTTATGGATAGGAGAGCAGAAAGGGAAAGAGAAAGGAGCCTGACCCTGGGCTGCCCCACCCCAGACTTCCTGTTCTGTGGGACAAACAAATACACATTTGTTTAAGACAGTATTGGTATAAGGCATATATACAGACATAGGCACACTCACACATATATAGATCGTGTACATGTTCTATGGTTTATGCTACAAGATAAATTCTTAATCTATACAAACCTCAAACAAATAAGTCTGGGAAATGCTAAATCCTTCTTCACCTACCAAACTTAGAGAATCATAATGGGCATCCAAAAATAAAATAACACGTATTATTTTGTTAAACTCAGCAGTTCCCAAAAGTAATTGGCCACAGAACTCCCTTTTGGGTAACATATAATCAGGTAACATTCCAACCTAATAACTTATTGACTAAGAACTTCAATAAGCACGGACTCAAGGCTGCACTGTTTGTGTGATGAGCAGGGCCACAATGGAGGCAGGGTGTCAGAATGGTTAGATCACAGCCTCCAAAGCCAGACTGCTAAGGATGTCTCCATTCTCGAGTTCTGGGAGTGTGGACAAGTGACTTAATCTCTTTGGCTCTCATTTGTAAAATGGCATAACAGTAATTATATATAGGCATCTCTAGCTTAACAGCAGTCATCTAAACTTGAAAATCAGAGGTTCCACTAACAGGGGCCTATTTTCCATAACTTTTAATTGGAAAAATTATAATGCACTATCGGACCTGCAACAACGTTCTAAAACAGAACTAAAGCACAGTAAAATTCATAGGTATCTATAAAACAAAAAATTGTGTGATTTAAAGTGTTGCTCTCTGATCATAATTAATATAGCTATTAATAAAAGGTTTCTTTGTATTAAGTTATATTTTCTCTTCCATAGTAAACATTTTTCTTGCTGACTTTACTTCTCTTTCCAGTTTTCTCAACCCTTTTTTGCCTTTGGGAGGGGACTCAAAAAATGTTGTACTGAGAAATAATTATGTTCTATGAGGTTTGGTTATTAAAAATGAAGAGATTCTTTGCTGAGGGAATATTTACCATGGAGATATCCTGTGCAGTGGGCCTATACCTCACAGACTTCTTAGATTAAATGCAGTTATACATGTTGAATGCCTGGCACACAAATATCCAACTTACATTAATTGTATTATTATTCAATTAAAATTCTACCATGTAAATTTGGCAGGATATGATGTTATTATATTATCTTCACTGTCTCATAAAAATAATAGGTGTTTTCAATGCAAAAAGAACTGAATAGACTTTGCTCTTCTGGTTCAGTTTTACTGTAGCAAAATTTAATTTGACTGTCATTTTACTAAAATTTCTTGCTGTTTACAAATCTATTCAGATTCAAGCTTCGAAATTATCTTTAAAAAAAAAACCCACAGAAACTTAAGCTGCAATTTAAAATTTTTGCCACCAGGTGGTGTTAGTCAGGCTTTTAGTATGCAGAGCATACTCGCCCCTGCCCAAACTCCTTGGTTAAATCAACTCTGCCCACTTTCTTAAAAAAAAAAAAAAAAAAAAAAAGCCATTAACTCCACTAAATTGAAACTATTTGAATCAGTGAAGCAGGCAATTATTACAGATTAAGACTTTTTGCTAATTTAAAATTATAGTAGTTTCTTTTGTTTGTTATTGAGTTGTGGGAGTGCCTCATAAAATTTGGATTTATGTCCTCTGTCAGATGTATGCGTCATAAATATTATCCCCAGTCTATAAATTGTCTATAATTAATTTTCTTTTAATGTAATGCACTTTTTAATAAATAGAAGTTTTACATTTTGATAAAGTGCATTCTGTCAATTTTTTAAATTGTTATGATTTCACTATCTTTTCCAAGAAATTTTCCTACCCCCAAGTTGTGAATACATATCTAATGCTATCTTCCAGACACATCATAGTTTTATCTTTTATGTTTACGTCTATGATATATATGACTTTAAATTTATGTAGCGTTTAAGAATAAGACTTTAATGAAACAAATACCTTGTTTACTTTCTTATGAATTTTAAACTTCTTGGGCCATAACTTAGAGCCCTTTTGGATTTCACCCTTTATTTATTCTGCCTAATTTAATGATAAGGAAGATTTTATCACTTGAATCTTTTGGTTTTGAGAGTTGCTTTTTCCTTTTGTAGGACTCTGAGAACCAGTAAACGGGCAGCTAGCAAAGTGGCCTACTGAAGAATCTTTCAAGAAGAACCTTTTCCCAAAAGATCACAGCCCTATGTGGATAAGCAGGGAGGGAAAATCAGCCAATAACAGCACATTGTTCTGCAGGACTGGTCCACTTTGGGAGGATGGCAGCACTGTCCCCTCTAAGAATCCCAACAAGCCAGAGGAGCAGATTCTTTAGGAAAATGGGACCCCTACGGCTTGCTTAAGAGTACTCTTATTTTTTTCTTCCAAGCAGTTCCTGTTGTTTGGTCCTAAAGGATTTCCTGGGATTCCTTCGGAAAGGTGGCAGAGCCCTTTTGTTCCCGTTTGCCCTCAGGGTTTGCAGGTTTTACACACCTAGCACAGCAACGAGGGACCTGGTTTCATGTATGCCTTCAAGTTAGCCATCACTCAATTCTTAATAGGTATAAATACTCAACATGCTTAGTTCTTACTTAGCTTCTAGTTTCTTATTGAAAAGCCTGTGATCAAATGTAATCACCTCACTAACATTAACAAACATCTACAAAGACTGTGACAACTTCCAAATTTAGCCCTGACCATGTAGGACTTCTCCCCGTCGCCTGTGGTCATGTATCATGTCCCATTCATTCCTCATCTGCATCAGGTTCATTTCTGCCCCCGCCACTCCACTCTTACAGCCTGTGTCAAAATGTTTGATTTTTTGCTGCCAAGTCCATTGACAAATCTGCAACTACCTTTTGCAGTGGTATTGGACCCCAGGGATCACTCCTTCCTTTTTGAAGTCTCCTCTCTGAACTTTCTGATGCCACACTATTTTGGTCTTCATCCTATTTCTCTGGCTGACCCTTCTGTTTTCTTTGTTGGTCCCTCCTCCTCTAACTAAACTAACTCTAAATGTGGTAGTTTGCTAGACTTAATCTTTCATTCAGTAATGCCATATGCTCCCATGGTTTTATATACCATCACTGTGCTGACAACTTCCAAATTTAGCCCTAACCTCTCCTTGAGCTTCACACTCACATACATCTGCCTATATTACTAACTTCCTACTTGGTCAACTCACTGGCATCTCAAATTTAACCTGCCAAAATACACATGCTGGTTGGGCATGGTGGCACATGCCTGTAATCCCAGCACTTTGGGAGACTGAGGTGAGAGAGACTAGGAGTTCAAGACCAGCCCAGGCAATAGAGTGAGACCCCCCAACTCTACAAAAAAAATAAAAAATTTAGCTGAGCGTGGTGGTGCATGCCTATAGTTCCAGCTACTTGGGAGGCTGATGCAAGAAGGATTGCTTGAGCCCAGAAGTTGGAGGCTTTGGTAAGCTGTGATCATGCCGCTGCATTCCAGCCTGGGTAGCAGGGTGAAATGCTGACTCAAAAAATAAAATAAAATAGACTAGGTCTGGGAAGATGGTGATGGAGCCAGGTGGACTATGTGAGTCCCTGTGTGAGTGAGTGAGTGAGTGTATGGACAATTTTGGTATGTGTCTGTAAGTGGGCATGTGAGTAACTGACGGACTGGGGACTTGGGAGCAAGTGGCCAGAGCTCTCCTGGTGAAGTGGCTGGTGCCACAGCTGCTTTGCTTGAACCCTAGCACTTCCCAGGGTACAGAAGCTGAGTGCCATGTTTTAAAAATCAGCAAAGCCCTTCCTGGGAAGAAGCTGTCAGGAGTGACTGCCAGCTCCAGGCTCTGCCTCACCACCACAGTGCCTGGCCGGAAACTGGCAGCAAAGACTATGGAGAGTGCATCAGGGGAGCCAGAGGCGGAGCCCCACTGGAGAAGATGAAATAGACAACCTGCCACCATCTTGAAAACTGGACAGGGAAGTACTCCAGCTTGCTCACCATGGAGCGACAGAACTGATCTCTGTGACTGGTGGGTTAATTACTCAGGG